AGAATAAAGTGCTGAGGTTACTCATCCCAATGTTTTCTGAAATTTATCGCTATGTGGCTTTTTCTCTTCCTTTATCTCTTTCATTGAAACGAACAATGTCCTGCAGCGGCCTATTATATAATCTATTCTAATGTAGGAAAAGAATAATTATGTAATCACATGTGCCATCTGCGCTGCTATATCGTCAGATGTTCATATGTGATGGTTTTCATTATCACGTCATATTTATTATTTGCTACTCATGGAAATGCTCTTATTGAACGAATAAGCTGTTCTTGCCCAGCCAATGGAACATATACAAGTTGAAATCTGCTCAACGTTTTTATAAAGGTTATTAAAAGTTATGTCAAGAGCACTTTGACGGAATTTTGATTTTGCTCTAAAATGAACTATTGTATTGTTATCATTTTGAGCTAATTTTTGCTCTAGGAGCAGTTATTAATTGTGTGGGTTCAAGCTATTCTTGTCAGCGAAAACTTTCGGTACTCCTTCGAAAGAGTGTTTCGCAGAAGAAAGCCGAAGCAGCGCTTCAAGCTCTATCTACGACAGTTCAAGTAGCCGTCAACTTAAGTGTGTTTCTTTGTGGAAAAGGTTCTAATCCTGATTTGATCAGTTTCATGCGATTTATGATTATTATTCGCATATGACGTAAAACACTTCGAAAAATCGTAAAAAATTGTATTAAAGCGACAAGCCATTGAATGCACTGCTTTCTGACTTCGTCTCCGTTACTCTCACAGCGAGAACACATATTTTATTTAAAGCGGCTGACAATCCTGATCCTGCTACCTTCTAGTATGCACTACATGTTACTTCCGCGCGAGAAAATGCAGAATGCGAGAAATTAAGCTTATTTGGAATGGCATTTGTAAGTTGGAGAAGGTAGGAGATGTTGCGCCAGATCCATTTTCGATTTTGAAACCAATACTTCACTTTTTAAAATTATATCAATGTTCTAGGAGAGAAAATTACCGAAAGCAGTATAGCATATTCCAATGTACATATAGCAAATTCGATTTCGGCTTAGCCCCAAGGTGCTTCAAAACAATGAAATTTCAAACAACGTTTCATTGCTGACCACAGCTCGGTCGTTTCCCATCTAG